TTAAAGACTCAATTTGATGGAGAATGGTGCAGTTAAGATTGTGCAGGCCTTATTTTATACGTCGACACGCTTGACATATGTTCAAATTAGTTGGAAATTCTGTTCGCAATCATCATATTACTTTCAATAAAGCTGTTAATGAAGGAGGGAAGACAAAGAAGATAAAAATCCATTCTTCATTTAATTGGGGAATTATCAATGCCAAACTCACGGCATTACATTATCATCATCTGTGATTAGCTCAGTAACGAGGTATCACTTTCGAAACCGAATGGTTCCGGTAGTTCTCACACTTGCTCGAATTAATCAAATCATTAGTTCGATAACATTTGCAGTATTTAGGTCAAAACGATTCTAATGAACTAATATGACAGCAGTATAGTAAGAAGATGAGCAGTAGCAGAGCGAATTGATCCATTTCTTTCTTCCTACTTTAAAATTTGTCGAGAAATAGCATTTGTGATTGTGGTAATGTCTCTGCATATTGTTGACGTGCATCTATGCACTATGAAAGACTGAGAAGGATAGAAACTTCATGGGAGGACGAAGAAACGTGAGAAGAAACGTTTAGGTCCTGTATATGTTAGTAACCTAATGCTTTCTCGAATCATACCGTGTGATGCGCAATACTATTCGTGTTCTAAATGAATCAGGAGACTGATTTGATGGAAAAACTGTGAATTTTGTTTGTTCGGAATGTCGAATTACTAAAGTAATATGTCATTTCTAGGGTTAGTCATTAGTGTTTATATTGATAAGATGGTTGTAATGAAGTCGAAATGCAGATATTGTTCATGGTTGGCTAATTGCTTCTTCTGATGAAGCAAATTTTTGATTTCCGTATAATTTTAACAGTGAATGATAGTGACAGTGAAATTCAATTGGAGAATCGATTTGCAACTTATGAGGTTGTAAAGTCACCCGAATTTATTGTAATTCAAATTAAATAATCAATGTCTCTAGTCGTTTGAACTCTATTCTGACAATTTAACTTTTAACGACCAACCGTATCAGTGCAATAACACTTTATCATTTACTTGAAATGACCAAAAGACTAATTTGTTAAAAATGTATTCACACTCTCCTCTAATATCAAGCAGTATTAAAATTCTTCCTGAAATGTTGTGGAATTCTGCTAAACGTGTCGGCATGTTTACTGCATAAGAACACTAAATGTTCGCAGAGATAACAAAGACTATATGATAATCAGTTGAAGAGTATGATAAAAATTTTATGGAGCGACAAAGTAATTCAAAAATCTTGAAGCAAGCAATTAGAAGCATAACTTTGAGGTGTAATATAAGATGATAGTTATCTCTTTTCTTTTCATTTACCAAAAATCTCGTAATACCATTTTGGTGCTACATGTCTGTACAAGATTAAGGAAAAGAATTATGCTAAAAAGAATGGTAACTATCTCACGTTCTAAGACGGTATTTTAAAAATATAATCAACTAATGGGATGAAAACAGTAAAGTGGCTCTTGCATCGACTGAATTAATCAGAGATGAAAGCACATGCCGTGAAAAGAGCAATATATTCATCATATGGGGCACAGAAACGCGCGGTAACAGCGCAAATGGCTCGCCACTAGAGCAGAAAGTACTGATTATAAGAGAACAGAAAGTCTCAAAAGGAGGACTTATAATAGCGGGCGGAAATACTAACGACGATAAAACATGCGGTAATAATGCATTAAGTGAGCATTAGGAGATAAAACAGATGTGATACTCCGAGAGCATCAAGATTTCAGGACTAAGAGCAAACAGTAACAGGATAACGGAAGAAAGCGAGAGACGACGACAAGACTATCGGGCTGAAGAAACGTGAAGATAAATTCGTATTAAGAAATGCAGCTGGATTCAGCATTCTTCATTGAAAATACGCCAGAAAAAACTGGACATATTTTCGCCTCCTGTATTAGATTAAGCATTTTTTAATACAGCCAATGTTCCATCTATCCTTTCTCTTCCAATACTTTCACTAGCACTTTTTTCCCACCAATCTTTGGGACATAACGGTACACGCCATCTTCACTTAATGACATGAAAAATTCCGATTTTGCTGAATTTCGAAGTGGTTGTGGACCGTAGATGATTATCAGCTGCTCTGAAGTCATTGATTAGAATTCGATTGACTGAAATCTTTTAACTGTAGTATTTTATATTATTAAATGGAGTGGTCAGATAATTTGCTCGAAAAATCTTGGTAATTTTTTCAGGTAGCGGTCTCGAAAGTAATACATGCTAAATTTTTCAATGGGAAATTCGTCTGGAAGTTTTGGTTTTAGTCCTTCCATTTTGTATCTTTTCCAGGAAAGCATTAATAGATCATTGACATTGTTATGAGGAAAACAATTCAACTTGTTTTGGCATATAAGAATGTATTGTTTTCGAAAAGCTTGATTTTCCTAGTTACTGCTATGTTTTAATGAAAAACACCAGCTTACTACTAATTTTAAGTGGCACTGATTTGTAACCGGGTGACGACCAACCCAATTTCTCTTCCTGAAAATTTTTCAGCAAATAATTATGTCGAATTTGATGCTTAACCGAAGACTGATCAACGCATATTCGAATCTTTAGATAGATGGTCGCAACAGTTCATTTTAAAAGCTGACGATAAATTCGGCTCCTTTTAATGACTCTTGTCATCTTCAGTATTTGCCAGAATGCCGAAAAGTGTCAAGTGTTCATACTCGGTATGTAACTTATAATTGTGTTGATTGATTGCACTTCGTCGTTACAGATGGTTATCGGTTACATGCGGCTGCAGGTGGTTACGGGTAGCTATAGGTATGAAAAGAAAAGATTTTATAGTTATTTTTGTTGTCGTAACTCGCTAATAGTAAATATGGCATAACATTGGATTGATACAATAATAGGGATGAAATGAACAATACACAACAAACATTAATGGGTAAACAGTCTTGTCACTTTACTGTAGGACTGTATTGCCGCTTCGCTGCTGTTGAATCGTTATCAAAGCTGTCGCTCAGTGCGAAATTCGGGAGGTGTCGGATGGTGTAACTGTAGGATTGAGTGACTGCAAGAGCTGTTAGATCGAGTGACTGCTCGAACTTTTTGATTTGATGACTGACTTCCACGATGACTGAGGGAATGGTTTAATATTCCAAATGCATTGGCTTAACTGTCAAACTAGAGGTTCTTTACAGAATTTTAACATGTGCATTTGACAAGCTTGATTAACAGATTGGAAAGTTTACGACAATGGACTTTGTCTCCAACATCTAAATATTGCAACTAAAATTTGTTAAACTGGAAGAATTGGGTTTGGACAAATGATCCATTACCTTTGGTGTTGAAATATTTAATCAATTTTGGCAACAAATTATTTACTTGAGAAATGTTCTAGATTCTAATTAAAACAATTCGCAATACTTTTTCGACTTTGCCGACAGGTGTTTACGGATGACTGCAGGTGGTTATAGGTGTCGGATTATCGAAATTAGTATTCAAATAAAATTTCCAAAATATCTAACACACAGGTGATGAAATCCTGTAAAATTAAAGCAATGAAGAGAATATAAAGCTAACAATGGACAGTATAACACAGACATCTCAGCATCCACACCATGGACAATGATATCCATTGTACCTACTTAATGGACAATGCCAAATGGCACAGGCATATCTCCATGATAGTCCTGATGGAGCTTACAAAACTCTCTAATCCTCACATATATACATGAGGAAAAGTCCGAAACAGTTTAGTTTTTACAACCAAACAGACAATACACCTCTTCGCATATCCTCCACTGTAACAGACATGAATGAACGCTACTCAGACAAACAAAATAAGAGGGGAAAAAGTGGAACCAATGTATATAACTAATTCAGTGACTAATCAAAAGGATCCACAAAGAAAAAGGATTTTACTGTTGTGTAAAGAAGTTGGCGCAGTCAATCCCCAAGCTCCGGAAATAGGAACACAGGCACTAGTAGGTGCGCAGTTGTCATTCGTTTCAAAAGACTTAGCGAATCGACTAAGCCTGCAAGGAATTACGGAAGAAGAAATAAGGATCGCCTCATTCAGCGACAAATTACTGAAGAATTACTACTTCACAAAGGCGAAGATTGGCATAAAGATATTGGAGAAAGGCATCATTACTTGCGAAATACATATTAAGGATCATCTAACAAATAAATTGTGAGCAATGCGGATAAGTGAAAAGGATTCGTTGACAAAGTGTGGTCAATTAGATGGCTTAAAAAGTTATTGGAAACAACCTGATATACTTCTCGGTACGGACTATACGAGCAAATGGAACAAAACATACTCGAGAGCTGAAAACATAAGGGATTTTTCTTGTCCCAGACAAAAGCTGGAGCAGTTTTGAACGGAACTGGAAATATAAATAGTACTAGGGGCATAAATGCAATATTAGTCGAGACTGCCGTAGTATACGGGACTAAAGTAAATAAGGATCATGATATTGATCGTTTTTGGAAGTTGAAACTCATGGGCATTCAGGATCAACCTGATGAAAATGACGACGAGAAAAGTTCGAAAACAATTCAAGGAGCACTACCAAACGGAAAGGAAGATATCAAATCAGATGGCCATGAAAAGAATCAAAGGATAAATTAAGAAGTCATTATGGACTATGCATCGAGCGCCTCATAGCATTAATCAAAAGACTCCAGAATAATGAAATATTGTTCGCACAGTATGATGAAACTGTTCGAAATCAACTGGAAATCATCGAAGAAGTTCATCCCGAAATGAATCGAGAAGGCGTCATTCACTATTTGCCACATCACGAGATTATAACTCTAGACAAATCGACGGGACCGAGAATTGTTGATGATGCTTCGGCATATCTTAAAGGTACGAAAAGCCTAAACGATGTCCCGTATCGTGAATCTGTAATGCTCCCTGATTTAGTCAGAATACTCCTCCGCTTACGAATGATGAGAAACGTTATTATAGCAGACGTAGAAAAGGCATTTTTGCAACTAGAATTGAATCCGGTTGACAGAAACTGTACCAGATTTCTCTGGGTGAAGAATATTGAAAAGACAATCATTGAAGAAAATGTAAAGTGCTACCGCTTCAGAAGAGTCTACTTTGGAGTAATTCTTCCTGCTTTCTGCAACACTGAATCACCATTTAGAAACCAATGGTAATAAAACTGCGCTGGACATGAGGAAAAATTTTTACGTGGGCAACATTATACTGTCAGCTACAGGAACGAGAGAAGATTTGAAGAAATACCATGAAATGAAGAGTATTTGTAATGAAGCAGCAATGAATATTCGGGAATTTTTAAAAATCTTTGAGAATTTTTTTCTAACGACAAAAATTTCAATAAGGG